TATAGATGGTACTGTAAATATATGACATTTTATAAAAGCACAAAAGAGACCAGGGTCACAAAAATGATTAAGGCAATTTAAAGAAGCAAAAGGTCAGTTTCCCATGGTGTAAAAGGAGATGGCTATTTTTTGAGGAGTCAGATAACTGTGGGTCAACTCTGTGGGTGGTATGAAGGTTTAAACACTTTCATACCACCCACAGTCAAAGGATTCTTTAAAATATATCTATTAGTCTCAGTGCAGGATGCATTTTTCAGGATGCAAAACAGTGGTACTTATTTTAGTTTTCTAAACACTTGTTATGTTTTTTTATGATGTGCTCCTATTCTCCTTTCGTGTTTTAGTTTTAAATTTTTTTAATGAATTAAAAGTCGTAATATGTAGAAAAAAATTGAAACAAAATCGAAGTATTTTTCTTGTGGGGGGGGGGAGGGTNGGGGGGGGGGGGGGGAGTTTCTACTTCAATTTGGAAAATTGCTAGTAAATTGGAAAATAAAGTAGTTTCTTTTTCTAAAATTCTCAATTCTATTTTACATTATTGTAGCAAACGTCAAATTTTCAGAAGGGGTGGTGCACATTATCTTCCATCTCAATTGAATTTCAGAGGAAAATAAAGTTTTCGATTTGGAAAATAGCTTTAAAGTCGAAAATAAGAGTTAAATATATATTTTACTTGACTCTATTCCTGCGAATGTCTGAATTCCAGAAGGAGTGAAGTATATTCTTCGCCCCTCACTTTAATTTAAGAGGAAAATAAAATTTTCTTTTTGGAAAATAGATTCAAAGTTTTTTTAAAAAAAAAAAAAAAAAAAAAAAACTTTTACTAGATTTTATTATTTCAAATGTCTAAATTTCAGAAGATATATAACACATTTTAGCCCCCCTTACTTTATATCAGAAGAAAATAAAGTTTCCTATCCCTTTACTATAATTTTAAGAGGAAAATGAAGTTTTCGATTTGGAAAATATCGTCGAAGCTATGAAACAAAACAATTCTTTTCTTCTAAAATTTCCTACATTACTTGATTTTATTCTATTAACGTCTAAATTTCTGAAGATGAGAAGCAAATTTCCCGCCCCCCTCACTTTTATTTCAGAAGAAAATAAATTTTTCTATTTGGAAAATAGATTCAAGGATGAAATTTTCCTCAGTTACCAATTTCAATTATTTTTTAGCACTTTGAAATTTCAAAAGGGGCGAAACACTATATTCGACCCCTCATTACTATTTCGGAAGAGTGAAAATTGGAAATAAAATATTTTTTCCACTTTCACTTTACATTTCCATGAGTCGAAAAACACATTAATTGCCCATAAAAAAATAAAGTTTCCTACTTGATGTATAACTTCAAAGCTGAGAGAGAATAGCTTTTCTTTTCTTCTCTAACATTACCTATTTTAATGGACTTCGTCTTGGCGAATAACTAAATATCAGAAGAGGCAAAGCACATAAATGTTAGTGGAATATAAAATTTTCTTATTTCAAAAATAGCTTCAAAATTGAAAAAAAAATTTCAATTTCCGATTATACTTTATTGTTGTGAGTGTCTAAATTTCAGGAGGGGCGAAACGCATCGTTTGCCCCATCACTTAAATTTTAGAGGGGCACTCTGCCTCCCTCTGGTTGGCACGCCACTGGGTCTGACGCTAGATAATAGCGGAAACAACTAAGTACAGAAGTGCAATATACAAAGTGTGAACAATCAACTACATGCAGCTGTGGCCTTTCCCATTCTCTGCAGAGCGTGTTTGTTCTTCTGAGAAAGGGAAATAATTCGCGAAAAGGTATTTTACCGTTTTATACCCTTTCCTTTATGTTATAGTAGGTACGTAATTACAAAAAAGGAAATTTTCAGCAACTCTATCTTAACACAATTTCTTTCTTACATATATAGAGTACTGTATTTTGAAAAAACATGATGTGGTCACTTCATGTGGGGCGCCCTTGACCGTCGGGGCCCCGGGACGGTGCCCCGGCTGCCCGGCGTAGTTACGGCCCTGGCTTTAACTCTACCGTCCATTCAGACATTTTAATCCGCTTCTGGATTCACAGCCTAGTTGGGTCTAACGATCTGCTCAAAATTTTACATGTTGAACGGACTTTAACTCTACCGTCCATTCAGACATTCTAATCCGCTTCTGGATTCACAGCCTAGTTGGGTCTAACGATCTGCTCAAAATTTTACATGTTAAACAGGCTTTAACTCTACCGTCCATTCTATTTTCTGAAATTTCAATAATTTTTTTTACTCTCTTGTATTTGATCCTAGACAATTTTTTTTCGTTTTAAGATGAAGCCGATATTTTCTTATGGTAATTTTTCATTTATTATTATTATGCAAAAAAAAAAAAAAATTATACTTTTTTTGTCGAAATTTTTTTTTGACCAACCTTAATTAAAATAATAAATATTTACTGAAAGTTATTTTTCAGAAGGAAATATCTTTGGATAAACGAATTTTATAATTGTGCTCAAACATTTTTCAATTCACTTTAAAAGTTTTCTAGATATAGTGAAATATGCAAAAAGTAAACTTAACATTAAGTGGTCCAAACTTTGGAGCGTTCTCCTTACCAAACTATTGGGACCACATTTCGCAGATAACAGCTACCCGCTATATTTTGGGGGTCAAAAATCTAAATCCGTTGAAAAAAAGATATGTTTATTCAGAGAAAGTACTCTTTTGGATCTGATTTCGAATTTTAAAATGTCGTCTGCACTTATTATTTAGCATATTTGAGGTCACTCCCTCAAATCCCTTAGGATTGAGTCTTAGAACGTGAAGATCCGATCATTAGATCGAAAGTTATTCAGTGTGGTCCTTTTTTTTAATCTTTTTTGCTCAACGTATTTTCAGAATTAATTTCTGATTTTTTCATTTTAAATTAAGTTTTTGTGAACAAAATACTGCATATCGAGGAATTTTTTACTGACTAAATACTTTAAAGTTGCAGTAAGTTTCGCAAACTATGAAAATATAATTTAAACACATTACTTGCAGAAAAATGTAATTGTAGAATTGTTACATATCCACTTTAGAGAAAAATAAGGAAATATAAAGTCTTTATAATACGGAAAAATAAATCCGAATGAAGCAATTTATTGAGGTGAATAGTCAAGCTTTACTTTCAAGGTTATAGGATTTTACAGTGAATATCGTTACTTAAGCATTTAAATTTCTATACAATGGTAAAAATAAATATGACATTCATTTTACATTTGCTTACATTATATACTGAGCGCGAACATGGGCTGATGAAACATAAAAAGGTAGAACACTAAAAAATTCCGGAAATCAGATTGCCCGTTCTTCTTACCGGGGCATGTTATAAAACAAAAAATCTGTCATATCAAATATTTACAATGAAAATTGCAGTAAATCATATCGAGTTAAATATTATTGTAAAAATTACAGCATAATACTTAATGGTAAAAATGAATTTATGGTAAAATGGAATTCAAGAATGATGCACCCAAAGTACAGGTATTTAATACCGCAATTTCATCCAGAATTTTTTGCGGTGCACAAAAAAGTACTATCAGTTGTCTTTGAGTAAAAAGGAGAAAATAAACGCAATATTGTGAGCAAATTATTCTGTGTCTACCGCAATCTTCAATCTTTTCTGATTTTTTATTGTTAAACTATTTTCGTACAGAATAAAGCATATCGGGAAATTTTTTTCCCTAGAAAACGCTATCGAGCTGCAATAAAGTTGCGCAAACTATGAAACTCTAATTGCAACTAATTACTTGTTCAAATATGTAAAGGTAGAATTTTTTCCCATTGTAATTATACATTAGAGAGCGATAAGGGAATATTAGTCTACATAATCCGGTAAAATAAATCGAAATGAAAAAAAAAACTATATAATACTTACTAAATTATACTGAACTGTATAATACTTAAGGGTAAAAATGAATTTACGGTATAATGGAATTTAAGAATGATACTCCCAAAGTACTGGTACTTTATGTCGTAACTTGATCCGGAATTTTTTGCGGTGTACAAAAAAATTCTATCAGTTGTTTTTGAGTTGAAATGAGAAATAAACGCTAAATTGTGAGCAAATTATTCTATGTATAACGCAATCTTCGAATCTTTTCTGATTTTTTATTGTTAAACTATTGTTTTTGTACAGAATAAAGCATATTGGGAAATATTTTTTCCTAGAAAACGCTTTCAAGCTGTAATAAAGTTGCGCAGATTATGAAACTCTAATTGCAAGTCATTACTTGCTTAGAAATGTAAAGGTAGAATTTTTTTTCTATTGTAATTATACATTAGAGAGCGATAAGGGAATATTAGTCTACATAATCCTCTAAAATAAATCCAAATGAAAAAAAAACTATGTAATACTTACTATATTATACTAAACTGTATAATACTTATGGGTAAAAACGAATTCACGGTAAAATGGAATTTAAGGATGATGCTCCCAAAGTACTTTATGTCGTAAGTTGATCCGGAATTCTTTGCGGTGTACAAAAAATTCTATCAGTTGTTTTTGAGTTGAAATGAGAAAATAAGCGCTAAATTGTGAGCAAATTATTCTATGTGTAACGCAATGTCCGATTTTTAATTTTTAAACTATTGTTTTTGTACAAAATAACGCATATTGGGAAATTTCCTTTTCTTAGAAAACGGTTTCAAGCTGTAATAAAGTTGCACAAATTGTGAAACTCTAGTTTTAACACATTACTTGTGAAGGAAAATGTAAAGGTAGAATTCCTCCACCTTCCCTAATTTAACATTAGAGAACGATAAAGGAATATTAGTCCCCATAATCCTCTAAAATAAATCCAAATGAAAAAAAAAATTATTGACGCACTCATTCAATGTGTATTTTTTCAAGGTTATCGGATTATACAATTAACACTAAAATTTTTGCACTTCATAAAAGCAAAACGTCAACCGTATGATGAAAATAGACGAGGAAGCAATGCCCCTCATTACATACCTGTAACTTCTTAAAGGAAACAGAACTCATTTTTCATTCCTAATTACTAAAAAAAAACGTCTCCAGTTCATATACATTGAAGAGGATGTATTTAAAGCTAAAATAATAATAATAAAAAAATAGTTTTTAAATCACATTTTTGATCCTAGCCTGATCAATTGTGTTTGAAAGGTTTAATACTTCTCGTCTCTTGGGAGGTTATATTGATTCAGGTGAAGTATTTAAAAAGGAAGATAGGCATTGGTTTTTGGGTATTTTGTCCATTTTGTGTTTGTATCGTTTTATTTAACATTTTATCTAAAAATGATATGGAATCATGCTGTGCAGTTTTATAACAAATTATTCGATGACAAATCTGGTAAGCCTTTTGTTAATAATATATTTTTTAATCCTGTATGCTGTAAAATATTTAAATATTGTCTGCTTCAATATATTTTGTGATGCGACTTATTTTTTTTTGAACTAGTAAACTTCAAATCATATTTTCAATTTTTTCACATTTGATTTTTAGTAATTTTTAATTATTAAGAGATTTTTTTTAGTACAGCGTTATAATATGTAACAAATATGTTAGTGAAATAATGCATGTTAATTTTTTTTTTAAATTTTACTATCGCTTTTTAATTTTTTTTTCGGATTTTATTTGGGCTGTGTTGAGTGATAGTACCAATAGAAATACTTGAATAGAAAATAAACAATCATAAATGCAATAATAAAGGCGACTTTTCTCTGAACTAGTAACCTTCAAATCATATTTTGAACTTCTACACATTTGAGTTTTCTTAATTTTTTGTCAGGAGTATTTTTAGTAAAACATTATAGAAATGTTAATTACATAAGGTATGCTAACATTTTTATTTTAATTTACAATCGCATTTTCAGTTTGATCACATTTTATTTATTTTATGTAATAGAGCCAATTCTAAGAACTCAAATGAAAAATATACGATCATAAATATTATACAATACTAATTAAAATACACGATATATTTTAAAGACGGCTCTTTTCTGAACTTTCGAACTTAGATAATTATTTTCACCTTTTTCATATTTGTCTTTTAGTTTTTTTTATTAGGAGATTTAACATTAACATTACATTAAACATGTACTGTTAATAACAACATTAAATAACATGTAAATGGTTTATTTTAAGTCATTTTCTTCACATTTTATATAGGAAATGTTATGTTGTAAAATCAACACAAATACTCGTATAACAAGAACATTATTATTATTATTATTTTTTTTTGTTGAAAATATGAGTTTGATACAAATTGCTTAATTATTTGAATAATAACTATTTACTTCTAATAAATGTTGTCCTCTTCTTTAACTACTGTTTGTAACAATTCTTCTATAACTCTTATTATAGTTTATCTCTCTGTTTACGATAATTTTAATATTTTATTCCCCTGATTTTGATTATCGTGAGACATTAGGAGGAGTAGTAAAATTATTCAAACATTTTATGTGCATGGGTCTGTGTGTCTCTTTTATAACTACGGAAGCCTTTGTACTAGGATCTCGTGATTTAGGCAGCGTACTCAAGGAAAAATTTTAGCTACGTATCGTAAAACAAGCATTAAAATCCCGATTAGTTAGTTTGTTTCAAAAATAATATTTTTTCATGGGTTTAGCATTAGGCATTCCTGCAAATTGACACTTCTTTTCATTTATTTAAAGAAGGGCGTCATTGATGTTTACAAGTTTTCAGATCTATTTAATCAAAAACGAGTTTCCCTGGGAGTCTATTGCGTGCTCTTTAACTATCTTTTGTTTGTTATGACAGGTAAGATCAAGGATCAACGTGATCGGTATGTGTGGTTATGCCTCCGAATTAGTGTTTCTAGAATAATATGAAATAACGTGTTCATTTCGTTTATAGTTTGGTTCTTGCAACTATGTCTTATCAAGTGGTTTTTCATGGCGTGTTAATGTTACAGTCTTGGATTTATTATCCCGACAAAACAATTTTCGGATTTGACTTAAATGGATACCTGCAAGCGACATCAGACCTGCCTGTCGAACTTGTCGTGTTTTTATAAATCTAAATAATGTAAAATCAACTATAAATGAAATAAAAAAGTTATGTTTTGTACTGAAGTGCGGAATTATCGGAAACAATGACTCATTAGTGGTATTGTTTGACTGTCATAAGTTGGACTCGAGCAATAGCATAATTTTTGGTGACAATGTGTAGTTAATTTTTGCATTGATAAGTTCAATTTCTGAAAAGTCTTTCGTAATATACGAGGTGTGCTACAATTGGGTATAATATGAAAAAAGCACAACTACTTCCACTTACTAGGAATAACATTTACCTTTTAGTTTAATTAATAAACTGAGTTTTAAATATGCTTACTAAATTCATAAACTTCGGTAAAACAACAATATAAATTATTTCCAAAGGAACTAGACTAATACAATTCCAACCTGGCGAGTAGCGACTTATAACAAGACACTTCGTTTGATGCTTTTACTTGTTGCTAGAAATCAGGTTCGCAGAAAATGCTGTTTACTAGTTAAATTTAGTAGGAATAACACGATCTGTGACGTAGGCTATAGTATACCCAATTATAAATAATGATAAAACTAGTGGGCTGCGCCCCCTGCTCGCTGACGCTCGCCAACCCCCGAAAATTGCTACGCAATCTTATATGGTTTGCTTCGCAAACCAAGCTCGCTTCGCTCGCTACTAACTTAGATACATTGCAAATTCACAAAATTCTAAGAATTCAAAACAATCATTCAAATCCATATAACGACTTTTTTTTTTTTAAAATTTACATCTTTTTAGTAAATACTAAGTCAGTAAAATAAATTTTAATTCAAATAAATGACATGTAATTCGTTAAACCTATTAGTAATGTGCTATAGTATAAAATCTTAAGATAAAATTTCTAAAACTGATATCTCTTTAAAAAGGTTAAAATTTTGGCTATAATTAAGTCTATTAAAAATTTAAATAAGAGAAATTGCAATGGAAAAACCCTGCATAAACAAAACATTGAATTTCGGAAGAAATCTCGTTTGGTGAGAATGCTCTCTCTTGTCAAAAAATACAAAATAAACTGACCTCAAATAAAACTCAAAGGACTTCGAATCAAATAATTTAGGAAACTACTATCACGTTTAATACAAAAGGAAGATTTATTAACTAAACAATAAAATTACAGCATCGCAGTTCCAAAAAAGAAATATCACACTCACTCAAAAAAAAAAATAAATAAATAACAATTTACATTCTAAATAATCACCATAGCAACCACAAAACTCTTCTCGTTACCACCTATAAACTGATATATAATAAATAAATTATTTAACAAAAAATACGATGCGCATACGCACATAATATTTTACACTCTGGTTATTTCAGTTTCCGCTTTTAAAAGCGCTATATGTTGAGCCACCTCACCATGTGACATTCTTAGCAGCAATGATTGGTCGATTTTCTAGCGTTGCCATTCGGGGAGTTGTAATGTGGCTTTTTTTTATCGCCGTGTAAGAGAAATATATATATAGATATGCCTAGTTGCGTAGTGTTAATTATTATCGATATATAGATTGCTTAAGTTTTCTATTCCATACTACAAAAAACGGTATACGGCTAGCTCGTAACTTAGAAAAACACATAAATATATTTACCATGTACTCTTAATACATTTCTGTAATAAAAAGTAAATCAATAGTAGAAAAGTTAAAGAAAACAGATAAATATCATTTTAATGCATTTGTAATTTCATTACATCGCAATACTAGAATTGTATATTAATATTTCACGAAATAAATATAATATTTTTATGGAAAAAAACCATCTATGCTTGTATTTTAATAAATATTTATGTATTTTGGAATTAATAAAAATGTTTTTTTTTCTTTACGTTTTTGGACCCTTTTGTTGTGACCTTAGACTATTATCTAAATGAAATCAGAAATTTATAATTGTTTGTATGATTTTTATTTTGATAGATACAAAACTGATTCATAACTTCCACGCAGAATACAAAGCAAATTAACGATTTGAAATGTATTCCGAAATTTTTTGATAGATACAAAACTGATTCATAACTCCCACACAGAATACAAAGCACATTGACGATTTGAAATTTATTCCGAAATTATATAGAAACAAAGGTAATATGTCATGTGTCGCTGCTCGGTATACATTCGCCCTGTATTCTCTTTATTGATGATTTTAAGGTTATAGCTACTGCTCGGTATATACTACCCTGTGTTCTCTTTATTGATGGTTTTTTAAAGGTTAAGTCCTACTGCGTGGTATGCATTTGCCCCGTATTCCCTTTAATGATGATATAATGTTAAGTGCCCAGTATGCATTTGCCCGTATTTCCTTTACTGATGTTATTTAGGATTAGAAGCTACACTGGTCGACAAAATTAAGAGATGGAAGACATTTTCCCAAATATCTTAAAAAATACAGAATATAAATAAATTAAATTTGGTATGGATATAGCTTATTCCATGATAATAAAGTATGCAAAACAAAAATTAAAGTGACACTCACTGGCAAGACCTATTGCCAATAAATCCAATGTAGTCTTAATTTAAGGATAAAATATGACAATAAAGGAGAGGCTTGTACAGTGTGTGTTGCCTCCAGTATGGTCACCCCTGACAGACAGACAGCATGCACAACGAGTATGCATGCTGTTAATAAGGGAGTTAATGAGGACTTGTGGAAGATCCTCCCATTCTTCCACCAGAGCAATTTTTAACTCCAGAATGGTTCTGGGGGGGGGGGAGGAGGTTGGCGCATCGCAATAGCTCTCCCAAATCATCCCAAGCATGTTCAATAGGATTCAGGTCAGGGGATTTAGCTGGCCAATCCATTCGTTGAATATCCTCGCATTCCAGATACTCATTAACCATGAGAGCCCTATGTGGTCGCGTATTGTCGTCCATAAAAATGAACTCAGGGCCAACAGCGCCCCTGAAAAGACGCACATAGGACTCTAGGACCTCCTGCCAGTACCACTGGGTATTCACGGAACCATTGTCAAACACATGGCATCTTGCATGATTCCTGACCAAACCATGAGTCCTCCACCGGCATAATGGTCCCTTTCGATAATGTTGCTGGGATGGTATCGGGTTCCAGGTTCCCTCCATATCAATAGCCGTCCAGAAATAGCGTCATAAAAGAATATAGCGTCATAGAAATGTGCGAAAAGGCTTTCCATCTCTTAATTTTGTCCAACAGTGTACAATCTTGTATATATTTGCACGGTATTCTCTTTACTGATGGATTAGAAGCTACTATTTTGAATATATTTGTACGATATTCTCTTTACTGATGTTTTTCAAATGCTTTTGTCTGGTATACAATTGCCTACATTTTTTATAGATTTTTTATTTAAAAGTTAAATGCCACTGCCCGGTGTATATTTTCCTGGTGTAAACTAGAGAGAAATTCAGACTCGCTTTTAGTTGTTTAAGTCAATCAGAGGCCAAGGAATTTTTATCCGGGTCAACCCAGAGCCCAAGACACGTCGGATAACTTATAACCCAGGTCCGAGTGAGGCCAAGATATATGTTATTAAAGACCAAATTTTGAGGTATCGCTACTCAAAATTTTTTTTGTCTAAACATTTAATTTAATCATTAAATTTTCCTTTCCTATAACCTGTAAAAAAAAACTTACTGAAATATCAAGATGACTAATACAAAAAGGAAAATCAAAATCTTGAGTAAAATTAAAGTCAATTTACAACAATTGGTGTAAACCTTACAAAGTAAAAACACCAAATAGAAATAGTAGATTGCTGTAATTATAATACATTTAAGTGTTTCATTTTCTTAAATATTTAATTACTGATCAGATCATCAGTTGACGAGGAAGCCTCCTTTTTACCACTTTCAAACGTTTGTTTGAAAATAGTAAAAAAGTTTATGAAATTTTATCATGAGTCTGAAACCTGTTTTCAGTTAATGTCGTCCGAGCTCGCGTCGATCCCAGGCTAGGGCCGAGCACTGTCAGTTGTAGTTTAGATTTCTTTTTTTTATCATTAGAACATACTTGTATTTTTCGACATACGCTGGTGATGGTCTGAATATGCATGAATATAATCAAATATTCAGTCTTTCATACAACATTAGGTATGTGTTGACTTTCACTAGTGAAAGTCGACATTTTCCGATTTCGGTTAATCACATCAACATTTATAAAATAACTCGCACAAATTAGTATAACATGTAATTTGTTTCAGCTTTTGTCAGTTTGGTTACATCAATAGCTCTGTCTCCAGCTATTTTACAGTGTGCATTAAAATTAATAAATTCAGTGTTATAAATGCTTCAAGATTATTAATTCTCTAAATATAAAAAAATCAAGTATAACTACTACCAATATATATACAAGAATTAACCTATTACCATTTCGCCATAATGTATTTTTTCGTATTTTACTCTATTTACACAACAATAAATTAATATGCAAATTAAAAACTAATGTGTCTGAAAGGAGACCAACTGAAATGTATGAGATTCCCTTCTTTACAAAAGAAATTTCACGAAAACAGTTTTTTTACTTAGCACCTAAATTATATAATAAATTACCATTTCAGTTGCAAAACATCAAAATATATTCTTCTTTTAAGCGTGCTTTATTTCAATTTGTGATGAACATTGACGATTTAGATCTCTATTTTTCACTTTAAAGGAAGCATTTGATTTTTTATACCAGTCTTGTGCCAATCCAAATGAATTTCTTATGTTGCCTTTGTTATGTAATTTTGTTATTTTTTTATATAGTTTCATGCATTTTTTTTTGCTTTCTATTATTACAGTGTTCAACAATATATGACATCTTATGATGAGCAAAATAATTTATGATTGTAATACCCCCCTTTTTTAATTTCTTTTTTTTAATTTCTATTTTAAATTTATTGTATTACTTTTCTTTGTCGCCTGGACAGGAATTTCCACTTGACGACGAATGAGTCTGAAACTGAATGATTGATTCCTTGTATTTATGTGTTTTTGTTCCCAATAAAGTTATATTTGTTTGTTTAAAAAAAACGTTACTATACTGTTGCAAATTGTGAAATCTTTTTAATTTGATTTAAACTTTTCTTCTGGAGATTGTTGATGAATTTTTTTAAAGTAATAATGTCCGTAACTCTTTTAGATCCTCGAATTGAAGATTGGGTTATGACTAAAAATCCCATTCCCACACTATTTATATGTCTTTCATATGTGTATGTAGTGAAATACTTAGGACCTAACCTAATGAAGAACAGGAAGCCTCTAGATATTAGATGGATGATGATAATTTACAATTTTTCGATGGTTATATTTAACATTATTTTGTTTTATGGTGTAAGTATTGAAAATTATTACTCTTATATAATACAGAGAACTAAAGCCCCTTGCGCGCTATCACTTGCAAACCTTCATAACAGCACTTTCTTTCGCATAACTTCATGATTGTTTCTTGCTTCATGCGCTTACCGGCAAATACTAAAATATAGTTATTAATTTAATGTTTGTTTAAACAATATATGATCACACATAAATCAAAACTATCTAGCATTTCGACAGGTAAAATCTATTGGTAAAATGATGGAATACGTTGGACAATTGGAGCTATTTTCCAAAAAANAAAAAAAAAAAAAAAAAAAAAAAAAAAAAAAAAAAAAGGCCGCCAACGCCGAAGTGAAGCGTCGACACTTGTTGTCAAACTGTTGCTAACCCAGAAATAACGCTCTTAGCATTGTCGCTGAGAATTGGCTTAGGCAAAAAACATATTAAATCATAACCTGAAGAGGGGAAATACATAAACATAAAAACCCATCCCTAAGCTAGCAAAATCAAGCTCAAGAAATTTACAAATCTCAAGCTCAACCGCAAAATCACACCATGAATTTCAAAATGAAAATGCAACCCACCTAATAAAAGCAATGATTTTTCTTACTCTTATATTTTGAGGTGCCCCATAGATTATCGGCAAGTCGGTCTTCAAAATTGATGATATTGTTTTATTTACGGAAACTCAGTTATTTTATGATACATCTCATGTTTATATGTTTTTGTTATGTTAGGCTTTGTTGTCGTTGTTGTGGCTTATCTTCCAAATGCCTGACGAAGTCAGACAAGATCCATCAGACCGTTGACCCTAAGGTAATCGAGAACCAGAAGGGGGGATGAATATATGTCCTCTCTGGAAAGTCCCAAACAGTTCAGGATGTGCTCGGGAGGAGCCTGCTCAGTTTGGCATTTGGAGCAGACTTTGAAGACCGTCACGCTAGCTAATCAGGGTTTAGGCAGTGGGCCATAAGTGTTAAATAATGTTAGGCTTTAGTGTATATAGATGCTTTTTTTATGTATTACTATTTCGCCATTTTATATGGCAACACGTAACACGTGAGACAGGCTTAATCCGATCCGCCCCTGAATTGGGGCATCCGGAGTATACTAGGTGACTCATGGTTACAAAGATCCTCAAAGTCAGACGGCGGAGCCGGTGGTGCATGGACACTTGAGGGTACATGGCCCCGAGTCACGCACGACAAAGAGCACCACTTCTTGTCAATGAGCAAAGGAGAAAAGTTTGTCAACGAGTCCGAACCCACAGGGGCGGCTTCAAATCACCTGCAGATGAACCAGGTCGACAGCAGTGGGCGTCTGCCATCCTGCGGTCCGTCGAGATGTCCCAAGACTGGAAGTCTCCAAACCAATACTTTATTCAAAACTTAGAATACAAACAAAAAACCAAAAAACAATTGATCACAAACAATTTGAAAAAAGTAATGAAATAGTCAAGAGTTACAAAAATACTGGCTGTGCCAGAACGCTCTCACAATTCCGGAACTCCCAGGAAAATCTAATACTTGGTGTTTTGCTGAATCTTTTCTCTGGCCCATTGCAGAGAAGGACATGTTTGATTCCATGCGCTATGATTTATACGAAGTCTCGTATTATACTTTTGGTTTGCTTCTTTGCAATTAATGCAGGAACTCTTGTTACTGCAAGCATCTTTCTTATGTCCTTGTTCTCCGCAATTAACACAAGTTTCTTGATGTTCACACACTTTCGCGACGTGGCCAAGCCTGTTGCACTTATAGCAACGCAAAGGACGGATGTATTCTTTCAGTCTCACGAATGTCCAGTTAAGACTCAGCCTGCCGCGCCTTATTATTCTTTTAAATGCACTCGGTTTAGTCGTAATAACCCAGGGAGTTTTCATTCGACTCCTGATTGGAAACAAAACTTTGGGTGTTGACTCTTCAAATTCCTTATTCGAATTTTTCAATATTTTTTCAAAGTCTTATTTGCAGTTCGTCTCTTCTACTTCATATAATATGACTCTAGGATTTCTCTTTTTAATTTCCTCGCAATGAAACACCTCCGTCAGGCCCTTTTCTTCTAATTCATCCATTATTGAGCTTTTCTTTTCAATTTTGAGTAATACTCCGCCGTCTTTTATTTTCTTTATCCTTATGAGACCCAGCTTTAGGTCACCGGGATTGATCTTTTCTTTCACGACCTTCTCAATGTCAGTGTCGATATTTTTGCTCGTGGGTTTTAAAGTAATGCAGTGTTCGATAATTGGTCTGCGTGAAATGGTGACTGATGCACGTTAAATCTGTCGAGTCTCAAAGTCCTCCATGTTCCCATAACAAATCAATACCTCTGGGGGTACTGATCCAGGAGTTTCCTTGTCTTCTGGATTGGTTCAAAATTACAAGGCTACGGAGTTGAACGTAAGTAGTCGTAAACCCGTGAAAGTGGGTCGGCTGTTCAACGACGGTTATAAAATAAAATAAAATTGGTCTGTGTTCTCCAGCACCTTGACTCCTTAATGCGTCTGCGTAAGATTGGCCTTTCTGCTTAGTTTTATTCTTTTTCCCTTTTATGACTTCATTCAGCGCTCTTTCTGCTTCGTGTTGGAGTCCTTTAGTGTAAGACAACACTTCATTCTGCTTCGTTATTATATCACTGAACTCAAATGCCATAGTTATTAGCTTTTGCGCCATGACCAGATTCAAGACTTTGCCATTACTCTTGGTTATAAATTTCAATAATTTCTCTCTTAAGAAAATTCCAGACGTGGCCCATTCCTTAAGTGATTCCTCAAACGAGTTATTAAATGACTCAGGAGGATCTTCCTCCTCCGAATCACACCTTGTCTTGGACGTGAATAAAATGAGAAGTTAATTCAGCAACTCTAAAAAGAAAAAAAAAAATTCTTTCACTTCTCTCCTATGCTCAAATCTAGATCACTCAAATAGTGCTCGAATTCTAAAGAGTAGTCTAAAGCTCCTCCGTCTGCGTTAGCCGTCCGAAGACGTTTGACCCTCGAACCACGATGAGGTGCAGAGCGGGGAAAATTAAAAAATAGAATTTGATGTTAATTGGTAGGCCGTTTAAGAGTTTGGCGCTGGGAATAGACTCTGAGCCTTGTTTCGCTGCGGGTATTTGCTACTCAAAGTAGCTTTAATGATGATATCTTACCAAACTCTAAGGGGCTCGAGGGATCACATAAGCAAAATTCGCAAAAAATTACCCGTCTTCGCCAAGGGGTACAACAGTATATATTTATCCTTTTTACTTTCCAAACAAGAGAGATCCTAACTCTACTTCTCTTTTATGGTAAAATTCTAGAATAGTCCAACCGTCGGCGACCTTTTGAAATCTCGTAAAGTTGGCTATTATTGCTTAGATCAACGTTGTTTTTTTATTATTAGCAAAACAGTTTAAATTATTACCAATTTATAAAAATGTTTTTAATAAAATAAAATAAAAAATATCTCACATAAAAGAACAACATATCTATCCGAAATATCTTCCAGAAACCTAGTTTAGCGGGATTTCAAAGAGTCGCTTGGCGAGATTTCAAAAAATCGCCACGGGATTGGCTATTCTAGGATCCACGCTCTTTTATTTTAAAAAATGAATTTAGTTCAAGAAATCTTATTTGAAATGTAAATGATATCATGCTGATGTTTGCCACTTACTGTCGCTCGATAGATATCGGTAAATTATAAGTAAAAAAAATTCTGCTATATTTCCTTGAAAATAAATAAATAAAACACTACAAATAGGACAATGAATATTGGCACTTGTTACTAATGCTCACACATTCTTTCTTTTTTTCTTCTCGCAAACATTATAGGCAAGCAAAATCAAGCGCTTGTACGTCGTGGCATAAGCAAATGTCAGAAGCAAATTGATTAAGCAATTTGAAGCCTAATAGCTGTATAGTTAACATGCCATCTATGTTCATTGCGCTCTATATAATAGTGTTTAATGTCATATTTGATCATTAAGTGTGATGATGTGTACCATAATGTGACTGATCATATAATCGTGTTTGTATAGCAAACATTTATTAGGTCTACCAAACCTTTAATTATATTGATTGAAATAAATGTTGCACTATTGCTTACGGCAATAATTTTCATAAATGTTACTAATTATTTGCTAATGTTATAAATGTTACTTAATTTTTATGTTTCTATATTTCTAAAAACGGTTCTATATTACGATTTCTTTTTGAATTTTCTGACCTGTCCATCTTTTCCTGAGTTCGTCATTTTATTTCATTTGTATTGCAGATGCAGTATGAAATATTACATATCATAATCAATAAATTTGATGAGAACTGTTTCTCGTAGAATTATAAGGGTGAAACATATGATTTTTAATATATTCTTTATTTTAGCTTGGAATCTATGGTTGGTTTGGTTTATACAGTTTTAAGTGCCAACCAGTTGATTATTCAAGTAGCCCTGAAGCACTTGGTGTGAGTTAATCTTTTTATTTTCCTTAATATAAGAACAGTGTTCTGTATTAAGTTAATTTAAATTTTTAAAATATTTGTTTAAAATTAGGTAGCAAATCAAGATTTAAATAAGAAAAAAAAATGCTTAAAAAAATAATGTTAATTTAAAACTTGGTACGTCTGGCTATAAAACGTGTACAGTCTGGCAATTGAGTACTTGCAACACGAGAAGAAGTCAAATAATTATGCCTAACCATGTGATTTAAATCAGATTTAATTGGATATCTGTAAGTGACGTCACGTGTGAGCACCGAATATGATTGGTTTCTGAATCGACAAATGTCACTGTTTGCCTAGCCTAGGATGACGTCATTTGTAGGTATTTAATCACTAGCTGAGTCCCCAACCGTATTGCACCTAGAAGACAACCTCACGGAAAACTCATGGATTCAAACAGTGGGGAATTTTTTATTTAATTTTTGACCAGTATGTTGAAAATGCATGGGAAATACTGTATAAAAATGTACTGTCTGTTCAATTCTATTATTAATCTATTATTATATAAAAAATATTTTTACAAATTACTATTATTACAAATATATTTAATTATATTTTAAGTAATAGCATTGTTATGGAGATAGGTGATAATAGCTTCTTCCAAATAACTCGTTACGAATAGCTACTTTACAGAAACCTTTTCCTAAGAAACAAAATAAATTTTAAATACTTCTCTATCATTGTAAAGAAAACTTAGCCAATAATTTATCCGTGTCTATTTTATATTTCAAATCTTTTGATATATTTTAATTGTAATGTCTTTCCTTATTTGTTTCAGATGTTATCCATCTCCTGGTGGTATTACTTGTCAAAAATGGTGGATTTTACTGACACAGTAAGTATAAAATGATCGAAATGAAAAGTTAATTGGGTTTCCAATGATTATTTTTCTATTATTATTATTGCTATATTATGATTATTATTTCAAAATTCTTTTGACATTTTTCAATTTTAGAGACGTATTTCGTTTGTCTGCGCAGAGGGGCACAAACGAATTTTTCATTTAAATCTATCAAAGAAGTAACGTTACGAAATCTAAAACAAATGTAAAAGATGCTGATGCATTACAGGAAAGGATTAAAAGAAAGTAAAAAAAAAATAATAAGCAAATTATGAGAAGCTTAAAATAGAACAAAGAATTAAACATTCAAAGATTAAAAAATTAAACATCATTAAAAAAGTTTACAAAAATTAACATTAATTATTATTATTTTTAAATTTTAGAAAAAATGATTTAAAAAGAATTTTTTTCTCTTGTTTTTGAAGAACGCGCATAAAACAGAATCAAAAGTAAGAGACTCATAAAGAAAGAAAAAATAGCATGAAGTCACTCAAATACTGGGTACTAATGCACGATTTCTAAAATTTGAACTAATTCAGTATGAGGCTAGTTAGGAAATGATCAAATCGTACACTAAGAGTACTGGTAGCTATAAATACATATCTGCCAACTTTTACACATTTTGCAGATAATTTACACATTTTGCGGGTTTTGAAAAGAACATTTAAAAAAATAAATAAATTGATTTTATTTTAAATTTTGAAAGTACTTAAATATTTCCCCTTCAATATAAGTTTTTTTTTATACACATGCATAATTATTTAAAAATCCTGTATCGTAAATTCATTTCTAATTAATTTTTAAATTCTAAGAATCAAATTTTAAAGTATAACCATTATTACAACTTGATAAAACTCTTAAACAAAACATTGCACTGTATCTCCGAATGAAATTACGGTAAAAAGTGCACCCTGAGTATGCATCCGTAAAATTCACTTTTCCATAAAATCTACCTTTATCGTAAAATTTTTAACCCAGTTTGAATTCCAGTGATGACTGGTCAATACAAATTCCGTATCCGACTTGCTTCGACCATAGTGCTGGCGTAAAAATATCCTCGTGGGAGGTTTTCGTCGTCTTGCTCACCATGTAACGCAAATATGGTTTAGTTCCTTCTAAAGATCCTCCACGAAGGCAAATTTCTCCCAATACTTGATCCAGGAGTTCCCTTGTCTTCTGGATTGGGTTCAAAATTACAAGGCTACGGAGTTGAACATTAGTAGTCGTAATTCGAAAATTGGATCGGCTGTTCACTGACGGTTATAAAATAAAATATAGATAAAAATCTAATGATAGTGTCGCAGTTTTCCATTGAATAATTAAATTCTGCGTTACATTTTAAGATAAAGTTGTTTACATCGGAGTCGAATCTTATTAATCGTTTTACAATTATCTCTTTTGGTGCAAATTACATTAAATTACGGTTAAAGTGATTCGTTAAATGATTTAGAACTTAACTTCCAGATTTATACGCAACAATACGGTAAGTGCAAAAATTTTATTCAAAATACATCCGTCCGTTTATTAAGCTAAAATATTAAATTACAGTTGCAAGCTCACCAAATTTGTTATAACAATATACTTTTAATTTTATATGTTATTTCAAAAAATGATTACTTAGAAAAATGATTTATGTTCACTTATACATCTTAAGGGAAATAATTAGACATGGGAAGTGGAGGCACAAGTGTTCTTTTTAGTACATATATTTTTAGTTGAATTATTATTTCAACTGTCTTATTCCAAGAAACAGCAATTATTGCGAAGCAATCCTCGAGGTTGGTGAGAGTGAGCGAACCTAGTACATTAAGCTTAGCCCCCTAGTTAAAGTGGTTCGGTGACTTAGCGGTAAATATTAGTGTATAAAAATTTCAGTATAGAAGAGTTTTTGTTCCGTAAAACACTACTATAAGAATCCCTAGCTCGATGAGTCATCACCTCCTACATCAAGAAGCCTCCACACGGTCTTTCATAAGTAGTCCGCGCAGACTGCTTAAAAAGCGAACCAGTTGTGCGCATGTACCTAAAACCTTTTATAAAAGTAATTGAGAGAAATTTAACTTATATATTTGAGAATTGAATCTGTAGTGGTTGACAAGTGAATAAGGCATTTCAATAATATTCATAAATAAAATAAATTTTTAGTCATATATTTGCTACCACTTTCTTTTTTAACTATATTCTGTATTAAATGACTCGTTCGGTAAGTGGATATCCTCCACGATCGGACTACCAATAAAAAACCGTGTGGAGGCTTTCAGTTGTAGGAGGCGTTGGCTGAGCGCTTATACTTTTTACCGCGCAACTTGATCCGGAATTTTTTACAGTGTGTAAAAATTGGTAGCCAGTCATTTTAGCTATTTCTTTCATTGGCTATTTCATAATGAGAATGGCAAATCTTATGAACAATAACTCCATAAACATAAACTACATAACTACAAACTACATACATATGAACATAAACTACATAAATATTAGTTAGATATTCTTTTAATATTTTTGATGAAGAGTTAGTTATTGAATTCTGGGGCAGTTTCGCCTAATCTTTGGTTTCTAAAGTTCATTAAGAAGTTAAGGGTAAAGCAAGCATATTTAAGTGAAATGAAGTATGACCTAAAAAAGCAAACTTTAGAATCGCTGCTTATTGCATTATTGAAAAAAAACAAACGATTTAGCTATCTTTCGTTTCTACCGTATAACTAAACTTGCCCAAACTTTGTATGGGTTCAAATTGTATGATTTAAAAAAAAAGTCAGGCTTTAATAAATCAAAATGTATAGTTTAGCAAGTTATACAACCCACTTATATGGTTATATATAGTTATATACAATCTTCTATACAAATATGGTTACATACAATCCAGAAAATGTTGTTTTAGTCAGGAAGCAAACATATTAACAAGCATTTAACGAAAATGGATATTTTTAGTATAACAGTATTTTAAATAAGCAAGATCTGTACTCAAACTTGGAGTATTCTGAAAAATATTTTTAGAATATTGTAATTTAAATAAGATTTTTGCACTCTTTTAAGCATACTGTTCTCTATAATTGGACGACCGGAGGCTAAGTGGTAGCGCTTCGCGCTCCCATGCCACAGGTCCTGGGTTCGATCCTTGGGCCGGGAAAGGTTGACTCAGCCTTTCATCCCTTCAGTGAGTCGATAAATGAGTACCAAGCAGGCTTGGGAACTAAACACTGGGGGTTCTGCGTTCGGCTGACCGCCTAATCGGAACATCTGCTCCTGCACTCCAGAGCCCAAGGTCAAGAAAGCTGAGATGAGCACAGTAGGCCTTGGCCCTCTATGGACTGTAGCGCCACTGAGTTTAGTTTTTTTTTAAATTCTCTATAATTGTATACAGTATTTTATGATTGTTACATATTTTTAGTGCATTGTATTTAAAGTTAACTATATACTCTTTTAAATTTAAAGCATTCTATAATTTTATATAGTGTTCTATGATTGTAACTCATTTTTTGTAAATTATTGTTTATATATCTGTACTTTTTTATACTTACAGTATTCAATAATTAAAAGATAATTTAAAAATATTGCCGATTATATAAGCTATGACTTAACTCTTTTAAACTTACATTGTTCTATAATAATATACAGTGTTTTTAAGTAGGAGATTTTTATTATACAGTAGATTAAATAAGCTATATTTCTACTGTTTTCGATTTACAGTGTTATGTAATTGAAGTAATCTAAAGAAAAGTTTGTTAATATAAGTTGAAATTTAGAAAAATATTGAATTACAGTAATTTTGAATACGATGAAATTAAAAAAAATCACTGTGTAAAAACACTAGAAAACTATTTTTGTTACATAATTTTCCATTAAAAGTTTTAGCCGGGTGTAATGAAAGTAACTAAAGATTCGAAAACGGAGCGGCAAACTGAATTCTGCTTAGGAAACTAAATAATTTAATGATGTGTTTTCATAATGTGATTACCCATGATCATTCATCAATGCTTTCAGTTATTATTTAGACCATTTCATACGATACCGTAGCATACGTCAAGTTTGCTATTAATAACAATAATTACAATCAGGAATTACTTTATTTCGTTTCAGATATTTTTTGTTATGAGAAAGAAATATAATCAAATTACAACCCTACATGTAGTTCACCATGGATTGATGCCCATGAGCTGTTGGTTTGGTCTTAAATTTACACCAGGTAGTTTTTATTTGTCCTTTTTTTAAAAAAATTAAAGTTTTTTTTCTTTGAGAAAACTAGTTGTCACTGTTTTGTTAAAAAATGAATGTGCCGAAACTTCTGCTAAATTTGAGTAGAAGCTTCTTATAAATTTTATTTCTTGAAGTTAAAAAGAGGGATTATGATATGTGACTACTACATTTATTATGAGTTATATTCAGTTCTCTGCAAACTGCCGTCATAATTTCGAAATGCACCTACAAAGCTCACTGAAGTAAGCCTAACAAATAACATCATCTGCTTACAAAGAGTTGGATTTTCCAATTAACTTACAACATAGATGCAATTATCAAATTATCCAGAGTAAATATATAGGCTATAATCGCGAATCACAAGTAACAATAATCACGAATAGTTAATTTTTATAGTAAAAAGGGGAAAAAAACTAGAAATAAAATGTATTATTTCACATTTTCCAAAAATTAATTGTTCACGGAGAAAGTAATTCTGGTAACTAGAAATTCTGGTTTACTGGAAATTCTGGTTTTCAAAATTATAGTTTTTATTATCACACATTCAGTAAAAGATATAAAACTGAAGAGTAAATTCAACCAAATAAATAATATTTTGCCAAATTTTATAAAACCAAATAAATTGTAATAGTGCCAAATTTTAACACTCTTAACAAATTTTATCACGTATTATAAAATCATATTTTATTTTTAATTTTACCAAAATCATTACCAAATCACTTTGGTAAAAATTACTGTAGTTTTTAATGTTTCCATAGAGCTAGAAAAGCGTTAAATTTCACTACATTCTGGTAGTTTTGGCCATACTTCTTACTCAGTGTTACTTTGTTTAGCAGTGTTTACAGTTTACAGTTCACTCAGATTACCCAGTGTTAATCTCGTGTTTGGTTTCCTTTAATTCATCGTGGAAAACTACATACGAAACAATGCTTCCCTTGCCTATATTTTATCTAGATAGTACGGTCAATTGATTAGATAACTTCAAACCGAAAACTAGTAATTTTTATACATAAAAACCCTTTAAATTTATGAATTGTTAGTCCTGCTGATTAGACTAGCTGTAGTAATTGCTTTCATTCGATTTAGCTTAATAAAATACACGAATTGTACATCACTTTTCTAGATGAAAATGTCAAATGCGTTAATAGTGACAGGTAAAAATTGTACTTTTTGTTCATAAAACATTTATAACTTCAAATTGCTAGTCCGATTGTTTGTTCTCATCTAATTCAGTGAAGGAAGTTACATCATAATTCCTTGTTTGTCTAAATAACAGTATTTAAGTTTCTCATCTCATTTACCCTCTTTGCTCCTCTTTTGCCGTAAGCCGTGACAAGTTGAAACTCCATATTTACCTTTGTACATAGAGAACTAAAGTAATGCAATGGCACAACTCGGATGGTCAGAGACAAGCTAAAGAGCTGAATCGTGACTGTCCTAGAGTACGTCAAAAAGAGCTTCTTAAGCTTGGAAGGAGCGGCTTGAGGAATATCATTGGTCCTCTCACTGGACACTACACCCTCAGTAGACACCAATACGTAATTGGTATTGAATTTGATTCTCTTTGTCGATGTTGTCATCTTGAGGAGGAGACTACACGACATATGCATTGTAATTGTGAGGTCTATCCTGCTCAAAGATCATAGCATTTAGGGCACCATTGCATTAAGACCTGGGAACTGCAGGACGTTCCGGTCAGGTGTTTACTGAACTTCATTGCAGTCATAAAGCTTTCCTGTTAATCATCATGATTTAGGGTTTGGGTACAATAGACCTCAGATCGATGTGACCTGCTCTTTGGAGCTGTCCAACCTCTAAGTCTAAGGTAATCTATGCCTTTAATCTCCAAAAACAAATTTCAGCATGTTCCGGTTTGTAATTTTATATGTATATCTGAAACTCTAATTAGACTGTACTAAGCCTTAGACTTTGAGGTAAAAAATGGGTATTAACATTTTTGTAGATTAGACATGTATAGATTTTCCTGTCAGATACTGCAGTAATCTGTAGCTGCTTCAGAAGGTAAACAAATATTGTGTTGCTGTCTCATGACAGTGACCCTTATTGATTGTGAAGAATGAAAGTTCTGGTTGTATGTAATTATTTGCAGTATGGATGTGAAAATTTTATTACTGTGGGTTGTGACTTTTTGCCCAATTTATTTTCAATTAATATATTATTCGCCCCACTACGAGTTTCCCGTTTCCCCACTTTAATTTCTCTGATCGTAGTTCGGAGGAGATCCGGAGTTCCATCTGATTATTGGATCATGTAGGATTGGATTAGTTTCAAGCTTTAATATTAGCTGGCTTTTAGCCTAGCTCTTAAGGCGAGTGATTATCCTCGGGGAAAAAAACACTACTTTATCCGGAATCTAAGCTTAGCTTGTAAAGGGGTTTCAATGAGCATTTAAATGGGTGATAAATTGAAATTGGCATGCATCCTTCGAGATTATAACAAGATGAAAATACGATTCAACAGTGAATTTCCTGTCATTTAATTAGTGACGTTTTACCATTGACAATAAATATTATAAATGAGCCTGTAATACTGTTACATTGGCTTTAACTTATGCGCTTATACTGTATGTACTATATTATTTTATTGCTTTTAACTTATCATATATTTGATTACCTTTAACTTATGTAGTGTGTGTTATTCTATTGCTTTAACGTAACATGTGTTATATTACTTGAGTGACTTCACTTACGCAATATGAGTTAGATTATTCAATTATCTTTAATTTATGTTACATTGTTTTATTACCCTTAACATATTGTAAGTTTTTTTATAGGTGGCCATAGTACATTTTTTGCATTTATAAATAGTTTCGTCCATATTTTGATGTACAGCTACTACGGTTTGGCTGCAATTGGTCCCCATATGAATAAATACCTGTGGTGGAAAAAGTATATGACCACATTCCAAATGGTGAGTTTTAATCTTTTTGAGTTAAAAACCAGAATATTTTGATTTTCCATGTTGTTGGTTCGAATAATTTAGCTGCAATTATTCAAACAACTTTTAATTATCAAATTAATTAATGCTTGATCGCTATTGACTGTTGTCGTTCTGCCATAGCCATCCATAAGAAACATTTTATTGATTACGGTAAGAAAGTAGATACATTTTAGATTAAGTATGATTATGCTTACTCGTAATCAAAATTATAAATCTAACCTAGATTGAATGCAATCATTATTAATTATAATCATTACAGTCGTTGTTTTGTATTAGTTATAATAACGCCTACAGCTAATATTGTAACCTGTTATTGCTTCAAATTGCAATTAAAATTGTAATCAGTAATTATTATTAAGCCACGATGGTTCAATGGTTCAGGTACTAACAGATTGCTAGGGACTGAGGTTCTATCTTTGGTGGCAGCTAGAAGTACCCAGCGTTGTGTGCCAGATTATCTGAAAACGTTAGAGTGTACATTGATTAATTTTTATTGATTAATTATTGGGTTGGAAAAGGGTAGGTTTCTTTAAATCCCGATTTGGCCTTATGGTCCGTATCGGCCATGCCCGTACCTGGGTCGCTTAATTTAGTGCTTTAATCCCAATTTAACTATTTGTTTTGAAAGTATTTCTTCAAATTTGAAAGCTCGTGTCTTTTCCATTTAAATATTAAACAATGTCATTTTAATGTGATTATTTTTAAAAACTTTTTTCGACAAATCGAAAGAATCTTGCCCAGAATTCTGCATAGCCGTAGAGGAAAGAATTATTTATTTTTACTGATTTATTGCTCGATATATCTAAGAAGGATTTGGTTGCTTTTTAATCCTGCTTTAACTGCTGTTGGCTTCGGATGTAATTTTGAAACCGTGTTTTTTTTCCTTATTAAATATTCAACTGTGACATTTTAATGTGATTCTTTTTTCAAAACTTTCATTGACAAGTCGAAAGATTACTGAGAATCCTGTTCAGTATTCTGTACAGCTGTAAAGGAACGAAATTCAATTCCGTTGTTTCACAAAAATAATAAAAACTGAACAGAAAGAAGTTAATTTTTGTTATTGGCTAGAATGTGTATTTTCATGCAAATTTTTAACTATTGTTCACATGAATTTTAGTTAATCCTCATTTATTGTTGCAGATTCAATTCATAATAATCTTCGTACATGCATTTCAATTGCTGTTCAGAGATTGTGATTACCCAAAAGCTTTCGTATGGTGGATTGGACTTCATGCTGTTTTATTTTGGTTTCTTTTCGCTGATTTTTATAAAAATACTTACAGTGCGGCTGAAGCTTCTAAAAATCGAAAGGGAAAAGCCACAGGGTCAAATGAAATGGAAGAAGCATTATTAAGTGGCTACTCAGCAATGGATGGTCAAATGATTTCTGACGATGACTACAAAAAACAAAAGAAAGTTTTCAATAACAATGGTACTAGCCATAGCAACAAAGAGGCATCATTAAAAAAAAATACTGAAAAGAAAGTTAATTAAATATGTTCTTTCGAATTAAAACAGGCGCTTTTTGTAAATGTGACTAAATAAGAGTTGATTTATCACCTGCCCTCCAAAAAATTGTTTCTTATTTTTAAACAGGGAAATGTTCTTTTCAAATCCCCTTCAGAACTGTAATACCTGATCACGTGATTCTCCCCTCACGGCCCACGGTATCATTCATGATTTCTCTCTGGCTCCAGCGACCCAAAAGCACGGACATGATCTCAATATAGCCTTCTTGTGTTGCATCATGTATTAGTACGTATAAACTCCGTGCGTGCGGGCCCAGGGAAGTGCTTGTTTGGGTCCTGAAGAGGTTAAAGAGGTATAATAAATATTCTAAACATACTTAACCATAACATATTACCATTTGATTGCTGTCTGATAGAGTTTTAATTTAAAATTGCCAATTAAAGTCTTAGCTTTTTGATAATTTAAAATGTAGTTAAAATTAAATAGGGTTTTCAATTAAAGTATGTGTTAAAAAATATTTTTATATCTGCATTGTTAAAATCTGCACAGTACTCTCTAAATCTGTTGTACATTTAAAATAAATAATACAAGGTGTTCAACGCCTTCAATGTACATATATTTTCGGAATACTTTTCAAAAATGAAGTGAAAATTACTTGCACGTTATAAGTGGCAAATTTAAGGAAAAAAAAAATTTTTATTTTTGAAATCTGAAGAGTTACTAATGAATAAGGCATCGAAACATCAAAAGCTATTTATTTGTCAAATAAAATTGAGAGGAGATGAATGGTGGTTATCAAACCGAAACACCTACAAATTTCTTCAGACAATCAAACTTGTTTTGATGCCTTAATCACTTTTTTCTATATAGTGATAAAACAGAGTTTGAAAATATTTTTTTTTTTGCCTCTTAAATTTGGAATCCATAATGAATAAACAATTTCGACATCATTTTTGACAGAGATTCTAAACAATTATATTAAGAGTGGCGATGTGTGTTACAACAAGTTAAAAAGCGTATTAGAATTGAATATTACTTTACTCAATGTATTAATACAGGGGCAAATGTACAGTTCAAAAAGAGAGAAAAAAGGAACACCCTGTATAATTTTTGATCTAGTGTTCTTCACGTGTGATGACTCAATCTTAAAGGTTCAAAGCTGCGACCTCAAATATGCTGATAAATAAGTGCAGATAATATTGCAAGCTGCAAAATCAGACACAAAAAAGAATTTCTCTATATAAACATGATTTTTTTTTCTACGGATATGTATTCCTCACCCTCAAAATAAGGAGAAGATAGTATAATGTCTAAAAATATTTAAAAAATGTCTGGCTAACAAAAGCATGCATAAAAGAAACAAAACATATAACGAGATAAATTAAAAATAAAAGCACAAGACAAATTAATGGTTCACCAGACAGTTGCTGATTTTTTAGGAGATAGTTTTAGTTTTTGATTTTGAGGTTTATAGTAACCGGTTACAGGTTTTTCTATTTTTTTTACAAGTTTATTACTAACCCGTTACGGGTACTTTATTTTTGTTAATTTATGTATGGTTGTTTAATTAATGTTTTATACATAAAAAAAAGAAAGAACTATTTCTTAACCCCTTAACGATCGGTTGATCTTCAAGAAAACGGTCATAAAAGTGCCTATTTTGCCAAATACACGTATTTGATTAGTGCTGACATCTAGTTTAAAATAAACTAACTGTCTAGAATTACCTTAAAAATATCCTGGTACTGCCATCTGGTGTGTAAAGTAGAAATAAAGTGTTTTCCGGGCAAAAGGAATGAATTAGTTTTATTCTTAGTGGCGCGTTACTACTAAACACTCCAGCCAGGAAATTTCACGGGAGGGAGAAATAGAGGGCGAAGCCTTGCCCCGTCATTTTAACGGGAGCGAGAAGGAAGGGGTTAATATAACTTGATTCGTTACAGTAGCCATAATGCGGGACATATGGTTCCAATAGGTAGATCAAGAGAGACGCCCGAAGTTTGAATTTCTTAATGTCATCTTACTTGTTGCGTATTTCGCCATATCTCGAGAACTTTTTAAGTAGTATATCGTAAAATGTGTGCACACAATTATAAAATTCAATTAATCAAAGACAATTCCACGCCAAAAAAATATTTTTTTGTTTTTTATTATGCTTCGTTATTTTATAAAATGATAGTCGAAAATATTTTGAATTGTAAAATATACAAACTTTTGCATCTTCTTAAACAGTGTAATTTTGAAAGGCAAATTACAAAATTTCAACATAGTCGATCCAATAATTTCTGAAAGATCGATTTTTAAAAAAGTCGTATTTTTAATATTACCGATTTCGTTTAAATTTTGAATTTTGCCATATATTTTTTAAAATGTTCAAATAATTAATATTGAAAAATTTGTATACCTATTCGCTAATTATCAAATAAAATATAAAAAATATCATAAAATGATAAATAATTATTAAAAATTATTTTTTGCCTTGGAATGTCTTGGATCGAAGAAATTTTATAATAGTGCTTTTCAACTCACTTAAACAGTTCTTGAGATAGGGCAATAGGAAAAAAAAAGTAAAAATTAAGAGTGCCCGAACTTTAAACGGCTCTCCTGACCAAACTATTGTGACCCTATTTCCAAGATTGTGGCTAACTCCGTATTTTGAGGGTCAGAAATCCGTTGAAAAAAATACACGTTTATACAGAAAATATTTTTTCTCCCTGTCTAATTTCGTAACTTAAAATATAGTTTGCACTAACTAATTAGCATAGATATATAGCATTGAACCAATAGATTGTCTGGTTGGCAGGGTGCTGGACTTACGTTTGTGACATCGAATCCAGCCGGTCGAAGACTTCTCGCGTAGTAAATGGTGACTGGTGCACGTTAAATCTGTCGGGTCACCAAAGTCCTCCCATGTTCCCAAAACAACTCAATATCTCTGGGGGTACTGAATTAGAGATTGATCGTTTTCTGGTTTAGGTCAAAATTGCGATCTGTGGATGAATGAATGGATGTATGAATCGGTTCGCCCTATAAACGGGTGGCATAGAGGGCGCTCTGGCCCTATAAACGGGTTGACCATAGAGGGAGCCCTGGAAAACAAGAGCTATCGCACCGCTTCTGCCTTAATGGCCGACGACAACAGCCACAGCATTTGAACCAATATGATAGGGGACCTTGTAATAAAAATCCAAACATTTTAGTTTTTCGCTTTTTTTGTGCCTTTTTTGAGCTAACTTTTTTTTTATGAACACATTTTTGTGCAGTGCAGATTATTTTCATATTTTTTTTTAAAATTGTGTGCCATCTCCATATTTTTGCTTTTTGAGATACAATGTCTGATGGATGTATTGTTTTCCCTGTATTGTCTGAGTTGTGGTTCCTTTTGTTTGACAGCTCACCACTGTTAAAATAAGATTAGCATGAAAATGAAAACCAACTCCATTTTCTTAAAATTATTGGAATCTACCCATTATTTAAATAACCTCTTTAGATTTTTAAAAATTGAGAAAAATTTTAACATTCTGCTTATTTATTTTTTCATATTTAAAGTCTGCATTTTTTTTAATTATCAAAGATTTGTCGCATTGTAATGATATACTTGTATTATTTTCAGTTGCATGCATTATTTTCAGTTTTATGCTCCATTTGTAGTTATTTATTTGATGTATCCATTGTTTATAATTGTATTCCATTATTTTATCTATCACTTGTTTTATTAAAATATGCAACACATTGATTCTAAGTGAATCTTTACCTTTCTTTTGGTTAATAAGATGTCCACTAAACACTACCATTACTCATATTTGTGGAATCTTTGTAAGAACGGAAAGTAAAAAAGTACTGAAATTTTGGGTCACAAATTGGTATTTATGCGAGGAAAATACTTAAAACGTTATCAAAATTTAACAAATAACTATTGAGAAAGGTAGGATTAAAAAAATGGAATCAAATTTATTATTGGATGAAATATCCAGATTTATATGATTGTGTTTTTCAGTTATATATGAATTGTGTTTTTACCCATATAGTAATTTAATACCCTGTTTCCTTTGTTAGATTATTAAGTTGATTATTTAGGTTAACCTCAATAATAGTTCGTTAAGTTTTGATAACGCTTTGTATCAATGGCAATGATCGTGGAACACCTTGTACATGAATAAATCGTTGATACTTTGAGAATGGTAAATTATTTAAGATATAGGTACAGTGTTGAAAATAAATTCATAATAAATTTCATTTGGATATTTCATAACATTTAATTTCGAAACATTTTCATAACTTTTGATCTAATGGTCTACTAAGATACGATCATGAAGCTTTGAGAGCCTATCTTTAAATATGCTAATTCATAAGTGCAGACGATATTTTGAGTTAAGAAATCAGCCACAAAAACATATTTTCAATGAATTAGCATATTTTTCCTCTAGTGTATTTAGATCCTAGACTTTAAAATACGGGGATAAACACAATCTGGTAAATATACAGTCAAACCTCGATATCTCGAACTTGAAGGGAGAGGTGAAAAAATTCAAGATACCGAAAATTCGAATTATCGAAAATCGCATGCTATCGATGGTAGAATAAAGAAAAATGCTCTTTACATACTTTATTTATTATTCCATATTTATTCTAAAAACACTTTTTACACTTTCATTTAAAAAAAAGATTCTATTGTTGTTTGCTTTAGAGATGTGTAAGAAAAGTTTGTCTATAACACTTTCTAAGTGGACTATAGCTTTAAATGTCTCTTCTGACATATTCGGCTGCCTCTTAATAAATCTCCTTACAGTGTCCACTGCAGAAAGTGCTTGATTGTTAGTAACATTGGGCAAATCTTGTAGGCAAATCTTCGATTTCCTCATCCTCTTTCATTTAAAAAAAGTTTATCATTATGAGAAAAGTACCTCGATTCTTAAAATTTTTGATTTTTTTTAGAATATATTTTTATATTCAGAAAAAAAATCTACACTACTTACGAAAAAAAAATTCAAGTTATCGAGGGATTAGAAAAAAAATCGTGAAATCAAGTTTTTTTTAACATTGAGTGCATAGAAAATTTGAAGGGAATATTTTTTTTTGTTGGAGATATCGAAAAATTCGTGAAATCAAGTTTTTTTTAACACTGAGTGTATAGAAAATTTGAAGGGAATTCTTTTTTCTTCGAGATATCGAAAAATTTGTGAAAGCGAGGTTCGACTGTATTACCAATTTTTAGTATTGAGATAAGTGGAATACTTGAAATCCCTAATCTTGATTTCTTTTTTCACGTATTCCATCTTATTTATTGTACTCTTTAAGTTAATCACAAACTTTTTTGCCCACAATTGTGAAACTCGTTTATATAAAGATAATTCCATGTATAAAAAATATTAATTAATATTATTATTTATCACTTAATGTACTAATGTCAAAAACTTTTTAATTGTTAATGTTGCAAATCTTTACACCTTTTTATCTGCGTAATTTAAGTGACAAAATACGAACTTCGAAAATAATTGGTTGAACAGTATTTAATAAGTAAAGAATGAAGGAAATGACTTCTTTGAGACAAGCAAAATAAGAAGAAAATACAAGAAATCCAAACTTCTAATTGATCTCCTGACCAAACTATTGATTGGGATCGTATTTTCCAGATTGCGCCCCCCTCCCCTATTTGGAGGATCAAGAATCCAAATCCTTCTAAGAAATATCATGTTTACATAGAGTGGTACGTTTTTGTGCCTGATTTCTAAAAATAAAATACCGTCTATATAAATTACTTATCATATTCAAGATTAGCATCTCGAAACATTAAGATTGTTTAATACTTAAATTACACGATTATTTGTTAAAAAATTATAAAGGTGTTCCTTTTATTACTTTGTGGACTGTAATATTATATTTTCTTATCCATGTTGAAAATTTATATCGTGTTTCTGAAAATTCTGTTACAAATTAAAAATATTTTTCTAGTTTTATGTTGTTTTTGTTAGTAATTACATTCACATTCTGCTATGTTTTTCTTGATAGAGGATGTAGTAAATCTTATTAAACATCAAATCTATGTAAGAGAACAACAGATGTTAATAATTTTGTTTTAT